TTTTTCTCCTTTTTCAGTTTTCTTACTTTTTCTCTCCGAAAATGCCGAACAAGGATCTTTGCTCATTATTGGTTAAATCTTGAATTTATTTTTTAATAATTCTTGAATTTATTTTCAAGATAATTCTCGAATTTATTTTCAAGATAATTCTTGAATTTATTTTCAAGATAATTTTCTTGAATTTATTTTCAAGATAATTATCGTTCGATTTGAAAGGTTTTACCGTCGTTCTTAATCGCTTCAAATTAAAATACTGTTACATATTTTCAATTCTTTAGATTTTATACTTTAGCCTTCAATGTCCTGTACCGTTCTCGGTTCTCAAGAATAAAAATTCTCTTTGTTTGAAATTGTACAATTTGTTGTTCCCAATTTTTCAGATTTCCTGCAATCGTTACAAATTCGCCAAATAATTACCAATTCGAATTATTATTATTATATTAATAATATTATCGACAGATAAATGTTAACATCGATACCGAAGCAGTGTTTCAGCAGAGGTCCAGAGAAAATTGAGTCGAGGTCCGAAAAACCTCAAGCTTCTGGATCCAGATCCTCCTTGGCCAGGCGAAAACAATTCGATATCCCGTAAGCCCCCCCCCCCCATTCCACGAGCTCAGCAGTGTCATTGCAGCCTCCAGCGCACAGTCAACAACATCTTTGACCGCGCAACAAAGCCTGGAATCCGGGATAATCTCCCCCAAGATTCCTCGAACAGTGGTTTTGTTCTCACTGAGAACATTCCGCGCGGCATGGCAGCGTCACTTCGAATATACAGGGTGTCCCAAAAGTCGCTCGCAATGTGAAACGAGAGGTTCATGAGGTCATTTCAAGTAACTTTTTCCTCAGCGAAATTGCGATCCGCGGCTTCGTTTACGAGTTATTAACGATAAACGGTGACCAATGAGAGGCGAGCTCGACTGACGCGAGGCGGCCGAGCCAATCAGCGGTCGAAGCCCAGTTCCGCCGATTGGCTCGGCCCCTAGCGCTAGGCGAGCTCGCCGAGCGAACGAGCGCTCGAAGCCCAGTTCCGCTGATTGACCGCCTCGCGCCAGCCGAGCTTGCTTCTCATTGGTCACCGCTTTCCGTTAATAACTCTCAACGAAACTACGCTTTGCATTTTCGCTAAGGAAAAAATTTACACCAAATGGCCCGAAGAGTCCGCCATTTCCGATTGCGATTGACTTTTGGGACACCCTGTAAAATCACGACGATTCTCATTTGATTAGATCTGACTCTCTCATTGTCACGGGTTCGCATTTAGTCAGGCTAGATAGTCTCGGCCGCCGAAGATCGCCTACACCATGGTTCCCCAACAAATGTTTCGTGGAAAAAAAAACAACGACATCGCAGCATCGAATTACCAAGTGCTCGCTACTTTCTATGTTTCGAACGTGTGTACGCAGAAATACGCTTGGTGATCTCGTCGATGTTGTGACAGTCGGAATAAAGGACGCTTCTCGATAAAGAGGTTAACTCGATCGGGGAACCATGGTTTAACCCTTTACGTCCCTTTGGCAGTAAAAACATCAGAATTATGTACACGTAACAATGCATCGCGTGAGTATAACAATTCTGTATAACGATATTATTGTGTATTATTAATGAAAGCTTGTTTGATGTTATTTATATATTATCTCATCGACAAAAACAATCGTTATATTATGTATAATCGTTTCGATAAATGCAGCAATTTGTAACGGTAGAGCTATTGTAATCGATCGTGTTTGCCGTTTCAATATTGTTCATAAATATTCGTTGACGGAACAATCATAGCAGAATCTTCTAAATCAATGCAATAATTATTACATTAATGATTCCTGTCCTCTTTGATATTCCTCGCATATGCGTGTCTGTGTGTATGTGTGTGTGTATATATTCATTGATATAATAATTATTGTAGAATCTTTTTGTTTTAGACGGATACAATAATTATCGGATCGATGACATTCCCCGAATCGATATCCTTCGTGCACGATCATCGACATAATAATTATCGTTGGATCTTTCAAACGGACACAATATAATTGCTAAAAATTAATGATATCTACTGTTTTGATATACTTCGTATACGTTCGCTGAAGCAATGATCTCGTTTGATTGGAAACGCAGGTACATAGGACCGATTTGTAAAAAATAAGATCGAACAAGTTCTCGGTCCGCAAAGGGGTTAACTTGTGATTTTCCTTCGAGGTTAACTCGGCCTCGGCTTCGGCCTTGGTCTCGGTCACGGTCACGGTCTCGCGCGCGATCCCGATCTCGATCTCGAGCGGCCCGGGTGTGCATTGTTCTAAAGGGGGGGGGGGGGGGATAACAGCTGTTTCGTTTGATATCAGACGCGCGCGCGTCGCAGTTTCTTCGCCGACGACGACGTTCGTTCGTGAACGCGTCGCGCGCCGCGAACGATAAGCGTGCGACCCTCGATCAAAGGCAGTGAACACCAACGAGAGAACCTAGAAGTTCGAGCGAAGGCCGCCTTTGTGTATCGGTCTGCGAGCCGCGGTCCTAATTAATTATGCTTCTCTCGGGCTATCTAACGATCCTTAACGAACAACAAACGCGCCCCGCTCTCGGGGCGCGACGATCGGATCGACGACGATCGAGCTCTTCTACGGATCGTGCTATTTTAAATATCATTTTGTCCGGTGCCCCGAAATTATGGTATTTCCGAGAAACGAGAGGTTCCTGAAGTGATTCGAAGCAACTTTCTCCTCAGCGAAAATGCGATCCGACGCTTCGTTTACGAGTTATCAGCGAAAAACGTCCACCAATCAGAAACGAGCTCGCCTAGCGCCAAGCGGCCGAACCGCCAATCAGCGGAGCTGCGCTTCGTCCGCTCATTGGCTCGGTCGCCTAGCGCTAGGCGAGCGCGCCGGGCCAACGAGCGCTCGAAGCTCGGTTCCACTCGCTTCTCATTGGTCACCGCTTTTCGTTGATAACTCGCAACGAAGCCACGCGTTGCATTTTCGCCAAGGAAAAACAAAACTCCTCGTTTCTCGGAAGTATCGTGATCTCGGGACACCCTGTATACTTCCCTAGATTTCCCTGTCCGACAGGACAGGCTGTACGCAGACTTTCCGTTCAGCGAGGCGAACGAGCATCGCCGCGCTTTGTTTCTTCGTTAGAACTTTGTGTGAACAGACAATGGTTTCCCGATGCTATCCGGACGTTGCCGTGCGACGTCGGTAATTTGTCCGCGCGGAGGACGTCGCGCGAATCTCGCGCACCGTCGTCGCATCGTTGTTTCTCCGAATAGTATCTCCGGTTATAAAATGACGGAACGCGATATTTACGTTTTCGGTAGTTCGTGCTCCGCGGCAAGTTCGCGCAACAAGTGGGAACGGTATAATTACCTTCGTTCGTTCCTGTGTATTAGATTTTTATCTGTCGACCCCTCGGACAGAAAAATTGCGGAAAACTTGGCAACGCGTCGCTCCGTCCTACTTTCGCGAAATATAGAAAAATTCGTTCCCCTTGTCCGGGAACGTTGGCGTTGTTTTCGGATGGTGAATCAAGAATATTGTATAAATTCGCTGCGTTCTATGTTTCTCGCGAAGACTCTATTTTTCGTGGTTATTGTTTACGCGCTTTGTCCGTCGAACCGGCGACCTCGAAAATTCCATATAACCGAAACTGAGGTATTAACTCTTTGCGGACATGTGTCGGCAAATAGCCGCCCAAGTCTTTTTACCGTTTTTTTTTATTATTAATTTATTAACACTGTGCTGTCCGGTGGTACCATTTTGGTGCCATTTTAAGAAACTGAAATAACATTCGAACTATATTTCTTGGGTGTTAAAAGGCGGCGAACTAACTATAACATTGTGCTTATTTCACTAAGAATTAAGTACGAAAATTCTTGGAGGACTTGTCTTAATTTTAGGAATTCATATCACCGCCATCTTCGAAATTTTCTTTTAAAATCTAAAACTTCCAAGCTATTATGCCAGCGTCCTACAAAAGAATCATATCTAAGATCCGCGGACGGCATAGTGTTGATTATTAATATAAATTTATTAATTTAACCGTAGGTTCAGAACGAATTTCAGTTCGACGTGTCGGTCTTCCTGTCACTAAATTTATTAACACTAAACCTACCACGGTCAAAATGGCCGATCTTTTATTTTACGATGCTACAAACTTTGGAGACATGTTCGTGGAAAATGATCGAATAAATCATATTATTGAGACAAGTCTCATAATTAAAACTTCACAAGATCCAAGTGAATTCTATCTTTTCACTCTTACGAGTCGATGCACGCTAATCATCATTAAAAACAATTAAACAACATTGAAAACAAAGGCTATATATTCTGTCTGTATATTATTAACACCGCCGTAAAACGTTGCGAGAGCAAAGAAAGCGCGAAGCGTCAACAGAAATGAGAATGCTCGGTGAGCGAATGAGTCGGCAGAGGGAGCCACTGTAGCGGCGCATCATAAATAAGACGAAAGCCGCCGCAGCGCCGCGCATCGTACCTAAGAGGTTAAATCTGTTCTTTTGGTTAAAGCAGTTCCATCTGGGATTTTCGAGAGACGCGAGATTCGAAGGGTTAATAACGCGGCAGAAGATTTTCCCATTTCTCATCCGCCGCGGTTCGTTTAAAACGATCGAGATCTTTTCAAGAGGTATCGCAGTATTTTCCTCGACGGGATAAATTACCGAGAAAGCGTGTGGATAGCATCGGCACGCAATGAAACGACGACAAGGGGACCCAGAAAACTCGGCGGCGGGCCGATACTCGGCCGACCCGCTTCCACGGGAAACAAGGTTTCCCCGCAGCGGAGCGACTTTCAAAGCGGTTCGCGTATCCTCTTGGGACTGATTTTTACGATCCCCGGTCTACCTATCCCGCGGATCCTTTTCTCGGGCGAATCTCTCTGTGAAAAAATTCCCGCATCCATTGTACATTTTCCTGCGTCGGCTCTCCTCTCACGGCTCTTGTCGTCGACCCGATATTCTCTCTCTCACTCTCTCTCTCTCTCTCTCTCTCTCTCTCTCTCTCTTCTCTCCGAGCTCTCTCGGCCGTTTGCGACGCAGATCGATCCGATCCGATCCGATCCGATCTGCCGCGGCTTCTTTGCCGATCTCCCGTGGGCCTGACAATATACCATAGACATAGACCAAATTCAACGGTCGTATTCAAATTTCTCCGATTTGACCCCGCTGTGTTCCCTCGTTCGCGCTAGATAACCGACTTGCCGGAAATTTATGCGGTCGATTCGTTTGTTTACTCTGTTCCTGTGATCTCGGCGACGAGATACAGCCACTTTGGTAAATCGTTTTTGTACTTTTTTTCATTTTATTTAGTCGAAGCTTTCTAATCTCTATCTTTACGGCCAATGTTTTTTCGTGAATTAACTAGCTAGAATCGTGTATCGCTAATTTGCACTCTTTTCCTTTTTTTTCAAGCGACGAGACTGCGTCCGACGGATTGCGACAGATACATCCGGAAATGATGATAATACTGAGTAACAGTTGAAACACGGAAATTCAGGAGATTCGTCGTGAATTATATATATAATATAATAATAATAATATATATATATATATATATAATTATATATTTAGTGATTCGTCGGGAATTATAATACGGAGAAGCTGAACACAATTTATTGTACACTTGTCACAAAAGGGAACAGTTGTCGCTAAACAGATTTTTCGTATTTTATAGCGATGATTTTGAGAAACCGGAATCAAGAGGAAATCTACCGGCAGCTGGGGCAAAAATAGGTCAACGCTGGAGCACAAAAAGTGTCACAATTTTTTTCTTTTTTGTAAAACTAACGAAGAGGGTATCGAGACTCGAAACCAAAGAAAGTCAGTTCATCGGATAAATTTACCATGAAAGTATTATTTATACGAGGCATTTCGGGATGGTGCTATCGTTGTGTAAACGCGAGATGCCATTGGTCCACGGGATCCAGGCAACAGATCCTCGATCTCAAGATCGCCGGAAGAGGCTCGGCGGCCGGAGCATCGCCTACCGTTAATATAGTACACGTTAATAGAAAATTGGCGACACCGGTTTCTCCGGAAAGGGGTGTCGCAGGTTCCGCTACTAAAATACCATAGAAACCTGTGTTCCTCTGAGGATTAAATAAATACGCTATTTACCGTGTATGTGTGTATGTGTGTGTGTGTGTGTGTCTGTCTGCCATTGTGTAACGCGTTTCTCGTTATCGGTGTCGACATATATATATACCTTGTGTAACGTGTCTGGCTGCGTGTGGCTGTACTTATGTATGCAGGGTGTCCCAAAAGTCGCCTACAGTCATCGATCGCAAACTAGGGTCACTCGTGACCCGAGATCAGTTGGAAGTAACCACTTTCTTAGCGAAAATGCGATCCGCGGCTTCGTTTACGAGTTATCAACGATACTAACCAGTGAGAGGCGAGATCGGTTGGCGCGAGGGGGGCGGAGCCAATCGGCGGAACCGCGCATTGGCTCGGCCGCCTCGCTCCACCCGAGCTCGCCTCTCATTGGTCGGCGTTTCTCGCGAATAACTCGTGAACGAAGCCTCGGAGAAAAATCTTGTAAAGGAAAAAGTTGCTTCGAACGACCTCGCGGGAAGCCGTGTCGTTTCCCGATTGCGAGTGACTTTTTGGATACTCTGTACCTACATATCTATATGTACGCGCGCGTGTCTGACTGACTACGTGTGTTCGTGTGTGTATATATAATATATTTTCTTTTTAATTCGACAACGGCCGTGAACGTACGAGGCACGGCGTCCAGACTAGATCGCGTTTTCTTAATCTCTTACCTATTGTAATCCTTTGGTGACTGGTATCCGTTAAATTACGTTAAGGCAAACTCGCTTCTGTTCTTCCGCACGCTTCTCTTCTCTCTTCTCTCTTCTCTTCACTCTTCTCTTCTCTCTTCTCCTTTCCTCTTCTCTTCTCTCGCATCGTCGTCCCTCGCAGTTTCCTTTTTTTTTGTCTCCCCGAACTGGTTTTCCCGTTTTCTTCTGATCTCTGTTCACGCGCGTTCACCGTGTTCTACTATAATTATATTCATTCGTTCGTCGACGCATCGCGAAATCGTGTTCCTCGTTTATCCTACTCTCCTGTTCACGCACTCTCGAACTCGCACTCGACTAGCACTCGTAATCGCGATCGCGGTCGCACTCGCGCACGCGCAAGCTCGTCACGCGCGTCTCGTTCGTTGTTAGAATTCCGTCCCGGAACGGGGGATTAGGGTGGAAGTTCAGCCAGGTGAGCCGCGCTGTGTGTTACCCGGCAAGGAGAGTTCGTTCGCCCAGCGAAATCGCACCCCTTTTCGATTCCACTTCCCTTCGGTCCTGAAACCAGAACGATAAATCGATCAGCACATTTTTCTCCGTTCCTTCCCCCAACCCCCCTTTCCCGACACAACCCCGTGAGCCGTTCCCGGCGCCAAGGAATGCGAAACTTCCCGGCTAAAGTATTTCTCGACGATTAAACTGCTCGCCGAAACCGTTGTGCTTTCGTTTGCCGGTTGAAACGTGCGCCGAAAGTTTCCGCGTTTCCGCTTTAAATGTTTCCGCTAATTTGTTCAATTCTTCCGCGGCGTGCTTGGAATTTCGCGTTCACGCGATTGCCGTATTAATTGTCAATTTGTTAGGATTGCGATAACGTGGATAACGTTTACAGATTTATATCATATATATACAGGGTGTCCCAAAAATGTCTCGCAATCCGAAAGTAGCGGATTCCTCAGATCATTTGAAGCAACTTTTTCCTTTGCGAAAATTTTCTCCGAAGCACCGTTAACGACTTATTAACGAAAGAACAGTGCGCCAATAAGAATCGAGTACGACTGACGCGAGGCGGTCCGGCCAACCAGCGCGCCAAGCCCAGTTGCGCCGATTGGCTCGGCCGCCTGACGCTAGGCGAGCTCGCCGAGCCAACGAGCGCGCGAGGTCTAGTTGCGCCGATTGACTCGTTCGCCTAGCGACAGCCGCGTCGCGCTAGCCGCACCCGAGCCATCGAGCGCGCGGAGCCCAGTGCGCTGATTGGCCCGGCCGCTTCGCGCCGCTTGCAGGCGCACGCTTCTCATTGGTAAGCGTTTTTCCTTAATAACTCGTTAACGGTGCCTCGGAGAACATTTTTGTAAAGGAAAAAGTTGCTTCGAATGACCCGAGGAACCCACCACTTTCGGATTGCGAGACATTTTGTTATATATTGCATATATGCGAAGAATTCGTCGTGCAGGATTCGAATGGACCTGACCAAGGGCCACCGTGGGATCGTGGAAAAGGTGAAAATTGCGAGAGAGGTTATTTTTGGACGGACGTGGTATACTTGCCGAGAGAACATTTCGTTGAGCACACGCCTTGGCGGACGTAAGAGTTTAAAATACGCGCAGCTTGCGGGTAGGCCGACGTTTCCGCGGTTTTCTCGAGCTGCTTTAGAAGCCCTCGATCACGCCGTAGGCCTCCAGGGTCGACATCACGAGGTAGAATACCCACAGGCAGAACAGGATCACGGATGTGACCACTTTCGGTACAAAAGGCCCGCCGAGCTCGCCGCCGATGCTCTTCGTCCGCCTCAGCAGCAGAACCAGGATCACCAAACAGGCTTCCGTGCAGAACAACGTCACGGAGAACGCCAGGCTAGAGCAACAGATACATTTATTCACGGTTTTCGTTAGCTCCTTTCCAACCCTCGCACATTTCCCACGTTCGATTCATTCGGAAATTATTGCATACGTATTAGCTGGCTCGAATCGATCGATTTAAAAGACGCAAATTTAGTGATCAGCAGCAAATAAAAAAAAAATTTTAAATCAGCAACAATTTAAAAGCTTGTTCGATTTATTTGGCATCAATTATATATTTATTTATTTATTTATTCATTTATTTATTCATGTATCACTTATTTATTTATTCATTCAGTTATTAATTCGTTCATTTATATATTTATTCATTCATTCATTCACATTTATTCCTTCATTTAATTATTTATTTGTTCATTTATTTATTCTTTTATTTATTTATTCATTCAGTTATTTATTCATATATTTATTTATTTGTTCATTTACTTATTCATTTATTTATATATTCACTTATTTACTGATTGATTGATTTATGTATCATCAACGGGCCAAGTGCGCTTTCAATTTTCCTACAGAAATTCAACATGATAGTAATATTAATAATAACAATAATAATAAAATAATACCAAAAATAAACATGAAAATGGACGTGAAAATGAAAAAGCGATATACTTGATATTTAGAGTTACTGATAAAGGAGACAATGTCGATCGAAAGCAATCGTTTAAAACCACGAAGCCGAAGTGACGAAATTAGAAGAAGAAATTAGAGTTGCACGCGTTTCTCGGTGGCACAATTTTCAAAAAGTCTCGCGAACAATTTCCACGCGTTGGTTCGATCGGTATTCGCGGCACAAACGATCGAGGACACGGTAGCGCCACCTGCGCCGTCATCGCTCAACTAGAATCGCTTGTCCGCATCTGTTGCAACTCTAACGATGTGTATTGGCTCCCCGCCGGGATCAACGTCGGACAATATCGCGTCGCGGATCAATCACGTCCAACGGTCGACGCTTTTGCCCGGTGCGCAATATTTTTACAAATTAACAGCCCTCGGATTACGTCATTTTCACCGGCGATCTATCTCCTCGTCGTTAACTACCAATAAATTGTCTCGTAATCCTGCCTTCGTTAACTCTGTGCTCTGCACAGAGGATTGCGTAACATTTAATTAGCGTAGAATTATATATATATAATTTATAAATAAAATTTATATTTTATTTATATTATATTATTTTATATTATTATCATTTATTATTATTATTATTATTTATTATATATTATATTTATATTATATTATATTATTTTTTGAGCCTCCGAAGTTCAGAGTATCGCCACTTTTACCAATTTTTTTTCTCTTGTGTTCCAGCACCTGCTACAACTTCAAATTCATACCGATTGAGGTTATTTTCACGTTTTCCTTATTTTGGACAAGCAGAACGGCCGGAATCGCGGAAACCGTGAGACGACCTTCTTTCAAAAGCAACTATATTCGCGAGTATGCGTTGGCACTAATCTTAATATTTCCTTTTCGTAACAGAGAATTATAAACCGTCGTAAAACGTTGCTATACTTTGGCGGCGGCTGAATTGACGGAGCAGCGGAGGAAAAGGGAGGGGGGAGCGTTGCGTCCGGGACCCGCTAGATGACTCATAAGGCTTTCCTAACGAGCGCTGTCTTAGACGTTGGGATGTCGGAAGGACGAAGTTTGTATACAATACAAATTGATCGGCTATCTGAGGGAAAGGAGAGTCCATTTGCTGGCTGGTATTATGCAGGTAGCCTCCACACGTGCAAGTGAACCTTGCCAATTTGACTGCGAAAGGTATAATATTGGGTTGTCAACTAAGTAATTGCCGATTTGTTCAATGAAATAAAAAATTTGTTTTTACTTGGAACGAAGTTTAATCTGTAATGTATTTTCCATTTTGTTCGACGACCTTTTGCCATCTCTCCGACAACTTGAAAATTCCACGCTCGTAGAAAGTCTGATCCTTTTCGGCCAAAAACTGAGTTAAGCGAGATTTTACAGCGTCGTCGTCGTTAAAAGTTTTACCACAAAGGGAGTTGTCCAGGGATCGAAATAAGTGGTAATCCGATGGCGCGAAATCAGGGCTATACGGTGGGTGTAACATCGATTCCCAACCAATATCCATCAATTTTTGCCGAGTGGACAAAGACGTGTGCGGCCTAGCATTGTCCTGCTGGAAAATGACACCTTTACGATTGATCAATTCTGGTCGCTTTTCCTTGACCGTTGCATTCAATTTGTCCAGTTGCTAACATTCACGGATAATGAAAAATAACATAATAATAATAATAATAATAATAATTTTATAATATAACATTTAGGGATATCATAAAAATGGGAGTGAGAGACATCTATAACTGTGAAATCGGCAATTACTTAGTTGCCAACCCAATAGTTTCTTTGCAAGAAATTCTCTGACAACGTTAAAAATACACGCGCGCTTCACGCTAGAATACTGCTTCAGGAGGCGTTGAAGATTACAGGTTAACGGGATAACGAATCAGAACACAAGCTCCCGTCGCATCGTCGCTCAATGTCGACGCGGCTCAAAAATACTATCTATTCAAGGGATGCGTCGTGGGGCAGTAAGGCGTCGGAGATACGGTTCCCTCGGCGAAACTCTCGGCGAATCCGGATCCAGGATCCAGGCACCGGATAAAATTGAGCGAGCCGTAGAACGGCGCGGCTCGCGGTTCGCGGCGCGTTCTCTCTCGCATAGGAAATGCCTGATTACCGGGCCGAGCTGCGAGCTTCTACGCTTTGAACCGCTTCGAACCGCGTCGAATCGCCTAAATATTCATTACGGAATTGCAATGCTCCCTCCGGTTTTCGCTGGAAAACGTTCCGACTGCGTTTCGATACGCGTTGTCCGTATCAATTGGCTTCTTTCCCGATCAAAATCGACGCGTAATCGAAAATAAATCCTATTTATTGAATTATATTTACTTATGGAAATATAACTAGTACTTGAATAAATAGGAAATAATAAGTAATAAATACTTAATACTTAAATAAATAATATTTTTCACTATTTGGATTTTCAATTAGAATTTTTATTTAATAGTTTCAACTTACATAAACTATTAAATTATAAGTTGAAACTATTAAATAAAAGGTTCTAATTGAAAGTTCAAATAGTGAAAAATATTATTTATTTAAGTATCAAGTATTTATTATTTATTATGCCTTATTTTAACAGTTTTATTCAACTCGGTAAAAACAGTAACGATTAGAAAAAGACAAAATACGAAATCGCATGCGTTCGCGATTAAATCATATCAAATAAGAAACTGTTTGCTGGATTTTTCTATTTAACCTATTTGTTGAAATTCGACGCTATTAATAAACGCAAAGTCTCGACGATTCTTCTTGGAACGTGAAAAAGAGATCGAGCGAGATGACGTTAAAAATACCCGCTCGAAAGATTGTTCCCTTCCGAGGTCGCGTCGTCAAAAGCGAAAGCAATTTTCGAGACAGCTTAATATTTTCAGTGGACGTTCCGACAGGGTTCAAAAGCGTTCTCTGGCCGGGTCCTTAACGGAGCGCAAAGGCCGTCGGGCGATATCGACGAGCCATCGATACGCCGGCAGGTCCTGCAAAGTATCCTGCCAATACGTCGCATCGGGCTAACGGCTTGCGAACCAGTCGACTGTCATCCTCGCAACATTTCATCGCGACCGACCTGTCCGACGTGCCGGCGCGCCGCGGCGCGCAGTGATGCGATCTTATGGGCGTTCAATAATCGCAACTTCTGAACCGATTCATGCTTCGATCCAAGTACGTTGATAACTTTTTAAAGGGAACACATGGACGAATCGTATTGTGTATGTGAATAATGTACAGTTGTGTTAAAAATATTGTGACGATTTGGTTTTTTTCTTGTGAATTGAAAAGTCTTTTACTATCATTTAGTAGGCTTTCGGGACAATAATCATAACCTCTAAATTGATTCATTTTCGACCTACATGGACGAATTGTATTATGTATGTGAATAATGTACAGTTGTGTTAAAAACATTGTGACGATTTTGTTTTTTTCGGCGAATGAAAAAGTCTTTTGGTAACATTTAGTAGGCGTTCGGGACAATAATCATAACCTCTAAATTGATTCATTTTCGACCTAAGTACGTTAATAACTTTTTAATACATGGACAAATCGATTTGTACGTGAATAATATACAGTTATAATTAAAAAATTGCGACGATTCTGCTTCTTTGTTGAATAAAAAGAATCTGTTGTCAACATTATTGCATTGTAATTTTTTAGAAACTGTGTACCGACTAATTTTTATTCGAAACATTTTTTATTAAGAACTAATTAATATTCGAAGAATTATTTAATATTAGAATAAATCAATTATTAATTCTCAATAAAAAATGAATTAATAAATAACCTTGACACATTTGAATATAATACGTAAAGAAGCAACAAATATTTCAATGTAGCAGGCTAACAAATAAGAAGAAATTACGTACGAAAATATTTGCAAAGATCAGACTTCTTTGTTGTAAAAAATCTTCTTTCATTGTTGTAAAAAATCACCCTGGATATTTTTTTTCCTAGGTGTTGATGGGGTTACTTTGTTTTTCTCTTAATTGTTTACGTACGAATAAAGACTCTAGATTACGATTATGTTACAAAAATAAATAAGAATTAATTTTATGTTATAATAATAATAAATATTGATTCTTTGATTTTCTTCCATAGCTCGTATCACTGTGCGACGTGGCGCGAGCTCAGGCCGAATTTCTTCGAGGAGTTACTCGATGCACGAAGACAACATCGACGAGATAGGAAGAGGCCGGTTATCGGGTCCGCGTCTTTTCTCGATCCGGCTGATATTGTTTCGCCTCCGGGACGCCCCGCATCCGATTCCGTCGCGACGTCTCGCGTCGATGCGTCGCGGATAAGCACCTTAGCCCCTCTAAATCCGCTTTCCGGTGTTACCTCGATCCCTCCGGAAGGTCTCGCGACGGATCAGGAAACCGAGATTTGTCTCCGCGCGCCGCACCCTTGCTACGGCCCTGTTGCGAATGTCATTTCGCCTCTCTATTTTATATATACCGGGTGTTCGGCGTGTAACGGTCGTATCGATTTTTTTATTTTTTTATTCGGCGTTCATTAACTCTTTGGGGCACAGAATTTTTCAGAAAATAAAATAGATCAATTTTGCACAGAAATTTTACTTCGTTTTAAATTACACGAGATTGATATATTTTTATTAACAAGGGAATAGCATAATATGAAAACAATATAATATAAATAAATAATATAATATAATATAAATAAATAATATAACATAATATAAAAAAAGTAATAATTTTATTCCATTTGTTGTTATAAGGTGGAGCACAAATAATCCCTCGGTGGCACATTGGTTCATGAAATTTCGAAATGGGTCTAAAAATATCCCACACCATGCATTATAGTACACCAAGATGCAAGGACATTTTTAATGCCTCAAAGAAGAAAATTATTGCTCGTAAGAAAATTATTTCCTCAATTGCTGCGAATTTCCAAGTTAAAGATTACTCGAAGGTCATTATTATGTAATAAGTCGTTGAATTCGTCTCTTCGTCAGCTATAACGCTGTACCATCGAAAGTACACGGTGCCGTTTAAGAAAGTCGAGGTGACCTTCGTTTCTCATCGAATAAGAGATTTTTCGAAATTTTTATTATCGCAATTTATTTTTCTCGAAAAGCATATTAACTTTTGTTCCAAACATTTTTTTGTCGGATTGCCGTAAATGCCTCAAAAATCGACCGTTACGCTGAACACCCTGTATATGTATGTATGCTTGACACGTGATTCATGATTATAGTCGGCACACTAGTGGCGCATGAATAGCACAGTTCGCAATACAATGGTTTACAACAGCTTGAATTGTTCGTTGGACGTACGTGTTTCATATTTGACCCGTTGAACTCAAGATAACCAGTGCGCGGCGTAATTTACATGAGCCGTTGTGCAAATCTAGGGGAAATTAGTCTGACAGTGTGTAACCGAGGAACTGCTCCATTATTATTGTACCTAACACCTCGTCGTCTCGGGAAAACCTGTTATAATCTATACCGAAAAGTTATATTCCTATCGAATATTATGAATTGTATATGGTGTCCCAAAAGTCATTCGCAATCGGGAAATAACGGGTTCCTGAGATCATTTGGTGCAACTTTTTCCTTAGCGCAAATGCAATCCGCGGCTTCGTTTACGAGTTATTAAGGAAAGAGCAGTGACCAATGAGAGGCGAGCTCGTCTAACGCTAGGCGGCCGAGTCAATCAGCGGAGTTGGACTTAGCGCGCTCGTTGGCTCGGCCGCTTCGCGCCTACTCGAGCGCGCCTCTCATTGGTTACTGTGTTTTCCGCTAATAACTCGTAAACGAAGCCGCGGATCGCATTTGCGCTAAGGAAAAAGTTGTTTGAAATGACCTCAGGAATCTCATATTTCTGTATTTTGAGTAACTTTTGGGACACCCTGTAAACCAATCAGTTTGCCGAATTCTTTTCAAAAATTGTCCGAGATATTGTGAACCGTAAATTATCTTGGTTATGTGAAGATCTAATGATTAAATAACAACGTGAACTTCCCTTTGGAAAAATCGACGGATTCTAATCTGTTATTACAGCGATATTTAATAATTAGAATAATTATGGGAATGGAAGGAGAACGGTGGCGCTGCGAGCGTTGCTTTTCGTTAGCGGATAATCGACTGAAACATGGTAGCGGTTGGATCGGTTCTTGACGTGGTAAACAATTTGCTAGGAATTTCTAATCCTCGGATAATAGCGGTTGCTTGCAATTTTCTCATTTACAGAGCCGATGAATGGCTCCCACCAGGAATTCGAGGGTAAAATGAACGACGTATTATGTGCTTTCCACGCGGAATTTTAATTTTAACCGGTATGTAGGGTCTCCTGGACGAGCCCGGTCCTTTGAATCCCTTATCGATCCATCGAGAGAGAGAGAGAGAGAGAGAGAGAGAGAGAGAAAGCGAAAGAGAGAAAAAGAGAAAGAGAGAGAGAGAGAGAGAGAGAAATCGAAAGAGAGAAAAATTGAAAGAGAGAGAGAGAGAGAGAGAGAAATCGAAAGAGAGAAAAATTGAAAGAGTGAAAAATCGAGAAAAAGAAATCAAGAGAGAGAGAGAGAGAGAAATCGAAAGAGAGAAAAATCGAGAGAAAGTGAGAGAGAGAGAGTGAGTGAGAGAGAGAGCAAAAGAGAGTGAGAGAGAATGAGAGCGAGCAAAAGAGAGCGAGAGAGAGCGAAAGAGAGAGAGAGAGTACAAGAAAGCGAGAAAGAATGAGAGAGAGAGAGAGAGAGAGTGAAAGAGCGAGAGAGAGAGAATGAAAGAGAGCGAGAGAGCCACCGGCAGTCCGAACCGTGCAATTTCGTCAGCATACACGACGGATTCTGTTGAACACGTCTCCCAGAAGCTCCGCCCCTCGCCCGGAAAATCTGCGAGCCCCTGAAAGACTTAACGCGCGAGCGTCGATTTCCTTCGGTCGCGTCGGAACTTCCAAGAGCAGATGTCCTCCTCCGGCCAAGTTTTCTCGTTTTCGCGTCGGGCTCCCCGCGAGAATCGACTTTCGAGGTTCGTGGGATCGGGGGGTCGTGGCTCGCGGGGTCGAGCCTACGTGGCCGAGCAACTCTATCTCTTTAGGTTCGAATAAAAGAAAGTGTCTTTGGGAAGTTTAGATTAAGTTCCGGAGACGCGCGGGGGTCGTTCGTCGGGGCGCGGCCACCGAAAGGGCGGGGTCCAATTAATCTCTTCGCTTCTCGAAAAAAACTCTGCGCGGACTCTGCAAAAACCGCCCCGGAAAGTTTCGGTTAATTAGTACCGAAAGCGGTCACGGCGTAATTAAGATTTGTACTCGGAAGGTTTAATAGGAGGATGAATACGATTTGAAGACGAAGGCGAACAGAGCCAATGATATTTCACGCGTTCGTTGCGACATTCAATGAATCACTAATAAAATAATTATTATATATTATTGTATATTAATATTATATAATAATTATTATAGTGATAACATGTGTGCTAATATATTAATATATCGTTATTATTATTATTATTATTATTATATATTATTATAATATAAAATAATAACTAGTAATAAATAATCTCAATATATATTAAATATATATATTTAAATATTTATATTTGTATTTGTATTTATATTTATATTATTCATAATTGTTTAATTTATATACATATCCATATACAATATATTTATTTAGTTAGTTTATACAGTTTACACAAGTGTAGTTATTATATTTATTTACGTATTTATATATTATATTATATTTATTACGTATCTATATTTATTACATTTATTTGTATTTATTTTTATTATATTTATTTATGTTTATACAGCTTCATTAAATGGTCCCATCCTCGTAAAAAAGCATGATTTCAACGTCCGAAATAATAATTTCACACACGCTTCGAATAAAAGACGAAAGCGACGCACGATTTTGTCCAGCTGGAACGACGACGACTGGTACCACTGTGAAACGGTCTGAAGGATGTATCGAAGATGCAAAAGGGGCGGGGGGTTAAAAGTTAAGAGAAAAGAGAACCGACACCGAGAGAAATATTCGAATAAAGAGAGAGAGGATCGATGCTTGTAACTCGTGGTGAATTGGTACTGACTTGCCGGGTTCCACTTCGAACTGCTCGCCGTGGCAGGCATGGTAAATGGCTGCGATGCTCCACGCGATGCCGATCCCCAGGAAGACGTTCACCGCGTTACTTCCGGTCACGTTTCCCACGCTCGCGTCGGCGTACTTGTCCTGGCAGGCGGCCACCTTGCTCGCGAACGTGTCTGCAATAAAATCACATGCTCAGATTTTCTTTGCCTACCCTTCGCGGAGTGTTTGCTTTCGTTTTGTCGACGCGCGACGCGACGGGGCTGTGCCTCTCTTTCTAATATCGGTTCCTGCCGCTGTATGCGCTACCATCGATGCCTTCTCGAATTCCATAGACAAGACCGTTTTTAATAATGTCGGATCGTGCGTCGATCACGCTTTGCACTCGGACGACCGTGGCGACGCTAAAAGGTGTTCTATCATTTTTCAAAATAATTTTTACGTTAGCAAAGTTGTCTATAAAATGTATGTAATATATAATATAATATGTACAATGTATATTGTATCTAATATATAATATCAATAAAATAGAAAATAGAAAATATATCTATAAAATATAAAATATAAAATATAAAATTAAACCACGTGCCTACGTCTTTAGGAATTAAAATAACTTCGAGATCAAAAGATTGATAAACGTAATGCAATCTGTATTTCAAATGTTAATTCAATTGTGTTGATAAAACGAATTTTAATAGCACGAATGCTCGCAAATTGCGAACGCTTCGAACGAAGTAGAATTTAATACTTTGCCCTACAACCACGTCTGAGAGACGTGGTGAGATAATTGGGCCACAAATGATTATCATGTCCCTGAGACGTGGTCAAAAAGTTGGGTCAAAAACGATTATCACGTCTCAGAAACGTGATCAGATAATCGTGCCAGAACCGATTACCACGTCCGAGAGACGTGGTCAAAGATTCGGACCAAATATGATTACCGCGTCCGAGAGACGTGGTCAAAGAATCGCACCAAATATGATTACCGCGTCCGAGAGACGTAGTCAAAAAATCTGAACAGAAATGATTATCACGTCTGAGAGACGTGGTCAAGAAACCGGGCCAGAAATGAGTAAAAAATAAGTAGCCTCTTCCTCATTATGGAACTATTATTATTTTGGACGGAATTATTTTACAACTCGATAGATTTATTGCTCGAGAAACTCTGGTTGCTTCGTTCGTTCCAAAATTGTTCCGTAAAACGATAAAAAGAAAAAAAATCGCAATTATCTTTCGACTATATCGTTGCAATGGGGAGCACAATTCGACTACCGCCGATTTCTAAGTAATCCGAAACTTCGTTGAAATACTCTTAAAGAGGATTTCCGTGAAAATTCCTGCGCGATTACCGGAAAAGTCGCCTCGTGCGGAATTCGAAGAGCCTCTAATTCGGCCATTATTTCCAGCCGCCCCCGTTTCCCAAGAATCTCCGCGCTTCGGTAATTGAAGCATAAGAGAGCGCCGAGAATTTTCGACAAACCCGTCGCCGCGCGACGCTTTTACAGCCGCGCGACGATACTAAAAACTGTCGAGGACGTTCGCCGAAAGGAGACGAGACGAGGGGAGCGGGGAGCGTGGAAACGGGGACCGGCGAAAGATCACGTTTTCGCAGGTTAGAAAATTCCGCGCGAGTGCATATCGAGGGTCGCGTCGTAAACGGTCTCGGGAGGTTGCGGCGCCGCTCGCGGCGCGGCGCGACGCGACGCCGAAATCGGCGGCGGAAGTAAATAACGTCGCGGACCCGAGCGACCGCGCCGCGCCGGGGGGATCTTTTATTGGCGAAGCTTCTCGCGAGTTTACTGCCGTAATTTTGGAGGCTCCCGTTTACGGCCGGTCTCCCCGACGAAAGTAACGTAATTAACCGCGGTTGATTTACGCCGGAGATAAGGCGTATCGCGAGCCTTAGTCCCGGGACGCGGCGCCTTCGGGAATCGCGGATATTGCGCGATAGCGACGTCGTTCCTCCCCAACTTCGAAACTTACGAACTTGCTTGCTGGCGTAATATGAAATTCCGCGCCGGACCGCGCCACCGTCGTCCCGACTCTAATAACGCGCGAATCGACCGAACCGAACGAGCGAATTACGAGGTACAAATTTCTAAGTGCGAACCACTCTTTCGGGATGCCACTTTTTCGATACAGTTTTGTCACAGGGGCGAGGCGAGGCGAGCCGACCCGAGCCGACGCGAGGCGATGCGAGCCGACGCGGCCGACGCGAGACAACGCGAAGCGACGCGAGACAACGCGAGGCGACGTGACGCGCCACTATAGTGGCTTGCTCTAGTAGCTCACTCGCTCATCGTTCGAACCAAATAATCGTCTTCATATTCATTGTTTCACACTTCTTTCGTCTTCGCATCGATTTACAACAGTCTACAGGATGTCCCAAAAATGTCTCGCAATCCGGAAACGACAGGTTCCTCGGATCATTTGAAGCAACTTCTACCTTTACAAAAATTTTCTCCGAGGCACCGTTAACGAGTTATTAACGAAAAAACAGTGACCAATAAGAATCGAGTACGGCTGACGCGAGGCGGCCCAGCCAACCAGCGCGCGAAGCCCGGTTCCGCTCATTGGCACGATCGCCTCGCGCCAGCCGAGCTCGCCTCTCGTTGGTCACCGTTTTTCGTTGATAACTCGTTAACGGTGTCTCGGAGAAAATTTTTGTAAAGAAAAAAGTTGCTTCGAATGGCCCGAGGAACCCGCCACTTTCGGATTGCGAGACATTTTTGGGACATCCTGTATATACAGACAAACAGAGTATACAGTATCAGACTCTGTACAGTACATATCAGACTCTGCCGTCCAGAGAAATAGCCTCGCGCAGAATTCAGTCGTACCTAAAAGGTTAAGCAGTACCAATGTAGCGGCGTCCGTGGCGCGACGTATCTCGAGGAGAATCGTCGCGCCGTGAGCCAAACGAGGCGGTGCTTCTCTGTAACTAAACCGGTCGAAAAACGGCGCGCGCCGGATCCCCGGAGAGTTAATAAAACTTGCTCCCTAAAACCGGGTAATTTCCCGGCATCCTCCTTTATTGCCGTCCCGGTAGACTCTGAATAGAGGCTTTGACCGGGAACGGTCGAAAGTTCGCGACCGTTCGCATAGTTGCCCGGAAGAAAATTGATCACGGGGCGCGGCGGCGACGAGGGGGGGGGGGGGGGGGGGGGGCGC